AAAAAAATGTAATGTTTGCGATAAAAATTACATTTTATTGGGATGTTTTTTGTACTTAAAACTATCATAACTTTTTCAAAAATGAACAAATGAAAATAATATTTTTTTGTATTGAAACCTTAGATATTTCCCTTTCATTTGATATAATGTTTTTTGAAGATCTAACACTTATTCTGCTCACTGGGAGGATNGTTTTTTGAAGATCTAACACTTATTCTGCTCACTGGGAGGATTTAAAATAATAACTTTTTTACAAAAAATAACTTTTTCAACTTAATTTTTGAAAATGTTCCGGAAATATTGCGTCCTTTAAACATATATAAAATTAAAGCTTATTTTATGTACTACAAAATGAAAAAAAAAAATTTGTCCCGACGTCTTATCTTCTATGTGCAAATGGCTGTCGAAAAATTAAAAAAAAATGTAATGTTTGCGATAAAAATTACATTTTATCGGGATGTTTTTTGTACTTAAAACTGCCATAACTTTTTCAAAAATGAACAAATAAAAATAATATTTTTTTGTATTGAAACCTTAGATATTTCCCTTTCATTTGATATAACTTTTTTTGAAAATCTAACACTTATTCTGCTCACTGGGGGGATTTAAAATAGTAACTTTTTTACAAAATATAACTTTTTCAACTTAATTTTTGAAAATGTTCCGGAAATACTGCGTCCTTTAAACATATATCAAATTAAAGCTTATTTTATGTACTATAAAATGAAAAAAAAAAAATTGTCCTGACGATCTATCTTCTATGCGCAAATGGCTACCATATTCAAAAATATGCTATTTTAACAATTTTTTTTTTTTTAATTTAACACTATCTAATAGAAGTTGATGTTGCTTTTGCAATTATCCATCAATTTTTTAAAATTAAACACTATCTACAGATTTGCATCGAAGCGTTTCTTATGATAGTGATTTTAATNTATACTGGACCCAACTATGTCACGACTCCACTGTGCTGGGTTTTTTTTTTTTATTTAATTATGTCAATTTACAGTTGATCTTAAAGTTATAGTAATAAATTCATTTTTTTTATATTATTAACTTTCACTTTTAAGGACAAAAAAAATTCGGTTAAAAATGATTACTTTTAACATTTTAAAAATGAAAATCAATAATAATTTGAAAAAAATTGGTAAGAAAGCAAAGTTAACAAACTCTGTCCACAATACATGGAGTTTAGTTTATACTGCTGTCCGCAATCTAGAATAGAAAGCCCTATACTATGAGACAAATTTTTTAATTATATTGAAAGAGGTAGAGGCTACTGAAACTATAGCTGTGAACGTAAAAAAATTTTATCTGAACAAGTAGAATAAATATCTTCTTCTTTTTCTTCTTCTTCCTTGTCTTAATCCCAATTACTTGGGGTCGGCCACCCTTATCCTAAACTTGCACTTGACCCGATCTGTCACATCCTCTATGCTCACATCATCTGTCCTCATATTGCATTCAATAGTATCCCTCCATCTCTTTTTGGCCTTCCTCTACCTCTTCCTCCTTCAACATTTATTTCTATAACTGTTCTTACAGCTTCCGATTACTCTCTCTTCATAACATGACTAAATCATCTAAGTCTATTTTCTCTCATCTTATCGACAATTGACGCTACACCTATATTCCTTCTTATATTCTCGTTCCCAATCCTATCTTCTCTAGTCACTTCACTCATTCATCTAAGCATTCTCATATCTGCTACACTCATTTTCTGCTCTATTTTCTTGCCAACCCCCTTACACTCTCAACTATAGATCATAGCTGGTCTCAATACAGTCTAATAGAAATTACCTTTCAGTCATATTAGTATTCTTTTATCACATAAAACACCAGACGCTTCTCTCCACTTTAACCACCTGCACTTACACCTGTCTCTTACATCCTCGTCAATATCACCGCTCTTTTGCACAACTGATCTTAAATACTTGAAATTTTGCACCTCTCAAATGACGTCCTCGCCTATTGTCACTGACCTCCTCATTTCACCTACCTCGTGTTCTTCTATATCATACTCGTACTCTATATATTCTGTCTTACTCCTACTTATTCTTAAACCCATTTCTTCAAGAGCTGATCTCCTCACCTCTAGCCTTAGATTAATTTCCTCCCTATTTTCTTCTATTAAAACTATAAATCGTCAGCAAACAACATGGACCACGGCACCTCGCCTTGTATTTCTCTAGTAATTTCATCCATCACTATAGAAAATAAATAATGTTCTTACAGCTTCCGATTCTTCTCTCCTCATAACATGACCAAACCATCTAAGTCTATTTTCTCTCATCTTATCCACGATTGACGCTACACCTATACTCTATCTTATATGCTCGTTCCTTATTCTATCTTTTCTAGTCACTCCACTCATCCATCTAAGTATTCTCATCTCTGCTACACTTTCATCCATCACTATAGAGAATAAGTAAGGGCTTAAAGCAGAACCTTGGTGCACTTCTACTCTTACCCGAAAACCCTCTGATACTCCTCCTACGCTTTTTACCCTGGTACAAGTGCCATCACACATATCCTCTGTTATATTAATTTACCTTTTCGGGACTCCTTTTCTCATTAATACCTACTTTAGAACCTCTCTCGGTACTCTATCATACGCTCTCTCCAAATCTATAAATACCATACACAGCTTTTTCCTCTTTTCCCTAAACTTTTCTATTAGTTGCCTCACACAAAATAATGGCTCCATTGTTGACTTACCAGGCATAAATCCAAACTGGCTGGGCTATATCTACCTTAGGTACTGAAGTTTCCTATTTAATTTATATTCCCTTAGAGAAACTACCAAGGGTCGCACTACAATATANACAACCTGCTGGACACCTAGAGATGATATAATCCAACAGGAAGCTGACGATGACACACACACACACAATATACCGGGTAGCAAAGTTAAGTTAATTATCAGACAAAAGTAGTGATCGCGAGGATGGTAAAAGGTCAACGGTTTTTAGATACCTATGTCTCATTTCTTATTCTCTGATCTATTACCTTTTTCCAAAATTTCATACTATGACTGATAAGCTTTAAACCTCTATAATTTCCACACTCCTGTGTGTCTCTTTTACTTTTAAATATCAGAACAACAATAATATTCCTCCATTCTTTTTGAATTATCCCTACTAAGATGATTTTATTTAAAAGTTCCTTCAACCACCTTATGCCAACACCACCTAATATTTTCCGTACTACTACTGACACTTCATCTGGTCCTACTGCTTTATTCTTTTTCATTGATGCCACAGTCTCCGATACCTCGTTCTCACTAATTAAATCTACCAGTCCCTCGTTCCATGAGATATCCTCTAACGTCTCTTTTGGATATTCCTCATTCAGTAATTTTCAAAATACTCTTACCATCTTTTTTCACATCATCATCACTCGAAGTATCCTATTATCAGAATTTTTTATACACCTTATACAGGGTGTAAATCTTTCGAACCATAGTAATATATAGGCGAGTATCCTTGGAGTGTGTAAACAATGACCTCGTTTTTTTTTTTTTTTTTTCCCAAAATTGGGGAAGTTTTGGAATAACCCCCCGGGATTTCCCCAAAAATAAAAATAAATCATACCACGATATTTCCCGCAAAATTCTCGTACAAATTGAGGGGTCACTCGATTTTGTCCAAAAAATTGGCCATTTCCCCTCATTTCCGCCCCTAAAATTGGATGAATCGAAATTTTAGTGTTACATATCAATTTGTACTAGAATTTTGCAAGAAATATCATAGTATTATTTATTTTTAATTTTTATGGTTTTTTCATGCTGAAAATTCGGGAAATCCACAAATTAATAGGTTTTATTGTTTTTTTTTTAATTATTACTTGTACTTTCAGTGATAATAATGGTAAGATATCAAATCAAAATAATTTTAATTATTTTAAACATTTTTTCTTTATTTTTTGTAATTACTTACAATTAACTTTCCGACCTTAAGTCATAATTAAAATTTTTGGAAATAATTCAAAAGTAAACTTAATTGATCGAACCATAATTGCCTATTTAATACGAAAAATTAACTCTAAAAATAGACTTTTACCAATATTCCATGATGTACCAAATAAGACTGTAAGTTACATAACAATGATATTTGTATTACACTATCTAAATTAACATTTGTTATCTTTGTCATTAGGACATACCTTGCCTTTAAGCAAGACAACTTTTTTTTACAAGTTGCGTGCGTTTTGTTTTATTTTAAAAAGTTTTTTATTTAATTAAGGTATTTAATTTTAAATAAAATAATGTTTACCAATTCAGAATACACCGATATGATTTTACTTGTAGGTAAGTAATTTTTGAATGAACTATTTTTTCAAGATCATTTATTATTTAAAATGACTATTAGGAGAAACAGGCAACGGATACCGTGCAAGTATTAGATGGGCAGAGCTGTATCCCAACCGTCGGCAACCACATTATCAAACTTTCGATGATGTTGTTCGTCGATCTCGAGAAACAGGTCTTACTATCATTATTTTATTAATTTTAGCAGATCAATTAAAATTTAGTTCGATTTAAAAATTTAATTCTTAAATTAATTAAATTTGCTATCAAACACTAAAGGCGTTGTGTGGCAGCGTTCCAAATTGTAGGATACAAAGCATGAAGATCTGGGTTCGAATCCCACAAATTTTTTTCATAATTTTTTTTCGATAAACCTTAAGTAATTAGATTAGAGTAACTAGAATCAATTTTTAATTAAATAAAAGTAGTAAAAAAGTTCAAAAAATGTACGTTTTTTTATTCTGAAGGTATTTTACAACCATTTGGTCATCGATCGGGAGGTAATCGGTCAACTTTAGATGTTCGCACAGAAGAAACTATTTTAGAACAAGTTCAAAATGATCCAGAAACAAGTACGCGAAAAATTGGTGCGGAGATTAATATCAATCACATGAGTGTCTGGAAAGTCTTAAATAGTAATAAATTGTATCCATTTCATCGGCAAAAAGTACAGGAGTTGTTACCTAGGGATTTTCCATTAAGGTTAAAAAATAACTTTTCTGTTCAGGCAATAAATTTTAATTAATATTTTTTATCATTAGATTGAATTTTTCACGTGAAATGTTAAGCCGTATGACAGTTGATACAAGTTTTTTAAACAAAATTTTATTCACGGATGAAGCTTCTTTTACCAAAGATGGCACTATAAATTTGCATAACTTGCACCACTGGTCTGAAGCAAATCCACACGTTACACGAATTACAGGATCACAATACAAATTTTCGGTTAATATTTGGTGTGGTATTGTTGATAATTATTTGGTTGGACCTTTTGTTTTACCCGATAGGTTAAATGGCCAAGCTTACCTGAACTTTTTAAGGAATAATTTGCCAAATTTATTGGAAGATGTGCCTAATGAAATCCAAGAGACAATGTGGTTTATGATGGATGGTGCCCCCCCTCATCATACTAATGCTGTTAGAGAACAATTATTTTTTATGTTTCCTGAGGGTATCATAGGCAGGCAAGCAGGTAATCGAGCCCATTACAGACCCAATATCGTATGGCCACCACGAAGCCCTGATTTAACACCTTGCGATTTTTTTTTATGGGGTTATTTGAAAGAAAAAGTTTATTGTAATGAGGTTAGTTCAAAGGAAGAATTGATAGCCAGAATTTTTGAAGCTTGTAGGAGTATCAATGGAATCTCAGACATTTATGAAAAAATAAGATATTCAATGAAAAAACGGCTCCAATTATGTGTCCAAAAACAAGGAGGGCACATTGAACAATATTTAAAAACCTCAAATAGCGAATTATTATTGTAAATAGTTAAAAGAAATAAAGAAAAAATGTTTAAAATAATTAAAATTATTTTGATTTGATATCTTACCATTATTATCACTGAAAGTACAAGTAATAATTAAAAAAAAAACAATAAAACCTATTAATTTGTGGATTTCCCGAATTTTCAGCATGAAAAAACCATAAAAATTAAAAATAAATAATACTATGATATTTCTTGCAAAATTCTAGTACAAATTGATATGTAACACTAAAATTTCGATTCATCCAATTTTAGGGGCGGAAATGAGGGGAAATGGCCAATTTTTTGGACAAAATCGAGTGACCCCTCAATTTGTACGAGAATTTTGCGGGAAATATCGTGGTATGATTTATTTTTATTTTTGGGGAAATCCCGGGGGGTTATTCCAAAACTTCCCCAATTTTGGGAAAAAAAAAAAAAAAAAAACGAGGTCATTGTTTACACACTCCAAGGATACTCGCCTATATATTACTATGGTTCGAAAGATTTACACCCTGTATAATGATAATCTTTAGTCCTTATCTCTCTTACTTTTGCAAATCTAATAATCTGAAAACAATTAATTATAAAAATTATATAATATATAATTAAAAAATTATATATTGTATTTTTGAATCTAAGAATTACTAATCTGGATATAATTAAGGAAATAGAAGTAGATGTTGCTTTTCTAATTATCCATGATTTCTTAAAATTAAACTCTATCTACAGATTTGTATCGAAGCGTTATCATTAACTATGCTACGTTCCCTCTGTACAGCGACCCCACTGTGCTGGGTTTTTTTTAAATCAATTTTTAATGAAAAATTCTGATACCAAAAACTTTTATACTAATTCAGTAGTAACGTTCAGAACGCAGCATTTGAAGTTTGTTAAATTTTAATTTTTTTTTACAATTTTCCTATGGTATCAAATGTTAGCCCATATTATGTAAAGACGGAAGTAAATACTATCTTATTACGTTATTTACAGGTAACAGTAAGCTATTTCTTTTCCATAGATAATAATAACGTTTAACGCGCTTTTTACAGAAATGATTATCTCTAATCTTAATTACAAAAATTAGAAACATTATCGTAAGTCAACTACGAGTTTTTCATGGATAACCAATTTAAAAGTGATAACAATTTTTAATTTGCATGATTCTATCATTGTAATAATATTATTATAGGATATTCCATGTTAAGAGATTTGATAATAAAGCACTCACTCACTATTATTCACGTATAAATTTATGATATATGAACTTATTTAATTACTATTTTAAATTATTTAAAAACTCAACATATTTTGGACAATGTTTCTATAATTTTTTTAATAATTTTAATTATACTACTACTTGTTTTTTCATGTCAATTACAAATGCTTATTTAAGTGTTAATAATTTTCATGGAAAAGAAATTGTGTACTGTTACCAGTATATAACATAATAATTGTTTACTTCTGTACTTTACATAATATGGACTAACATTTGATACAATAAGAAAATTATAAGAAAAATCAAAATTTAACAAACTTCAATATGCTGTAAACATGTAACTATTGAATTAAAATAAAAATTTTTGGTATCAAAATTTTTCTTTAAAACTTATTTATGAAATGTCAATCTTCAAATTTTAAAAAAAGTTTTAATAAAAAATTTATTTTTAAAACATTTTTTGTAATCGCGAAAAATAACATAAACCTATTTTAAATATAGTTCTATATTGTAAAAATTGATTTTAAAAAAAAGTATAAAATGTTATGTAGATTATAAGTTCTATGAGTTGCTAGTTAGATCTATTCTACTCTGTATATTAAATAATGGTGTTCCACTCTGAGAAAGACATGTCATGCATTGTCTGTCGTCTATAGGTGCACACTTGTGTTATTTTACTATGTATTTACATTATTTAATTTATGAATGTGTGTTGTCAGAAACAAACGAGCATATTCATTTTTGTAATATTATACAATGAGCGTTGTCATTTAAATTTATGTGATATCATTTAAGTATATAGTATATATATACTTATATATGGTAGCGCTTTGTTAAATAACACTGACGAAGAAAATAACTTATAAAAATTAGACTTGGAAAAAAATTCAAGTTGTAGTCAATTTTTTGTCAAACCTCTTTAACTCAGATATTTTAAAAAAATATTTTCAATTTAAACATTTGTTTTATCTTACAAAACAAATTAATTCCGCTATTATTACTCTAGAGGGTTCAATTACTATATTTTTTACTATTTTAGGATATTTTACAACATTGTCATTGATTTATTTTTTTATTAAAAGAAAATATATATAGAATATAAATTTAACTGTACTAAATAATATAGATATTTTAACATCTAAAAATGTGCTTCTCGACTTAATCAAACCTTAAATATTAAAAAATTCTACTTTAGTTATTATTATGATAAATTCATAAATATTCTGTAATTAAAAAAGGGGCGTATTTAGGACACTTCCAACGAGGAGTGACTAAATTGTTTTTAGTATGGTAAAAATATTTGAATAATTTTAATATATTGATTCTTGAGCAATAAAATTTTGATGTTATACATGATTATAATTAAATATTTATTTGTTTATATATATTTTTATTATTATGAACTACTCTACAGCGCACTTCCGCCACTCTATATAATAAAATATTAACAACTTATGAAGGACTATTACAAAAAAACGTTGGCTGCACAGCAAGGTCGCAATACAATTTGGACGTGACATAGTTGGGACAGGTATAGATTAAATCTGATAGTGATTAATGTCACTATCTAAAGGAAGACTTTTATGCAAATCTATAGTGTTTAATTTGTAATCTATATATATATATATAATATTATCGTTAAGTTAAAACAGGTCGTTAAGACTTGTCAACAAAAACATTACCAGAAATTTTATATACAGCTCACATTATATTGCAACGAGATTTACGTGGTTGGGAAAGTAAAAAAAAGGGTAATAATAAGCGTTAGCACATACCTTTTTTTTTTTTTTTTAAACACGACCGGCATTATTGCGGTCCGCCCTGGGACTACCGTGAGGTATTACTTCAAGGCGGCCCACGCCGTCTCTAATGCCGGCCATACACGATACGGTCTACCGGAGAGGTCTACCTGCGAATGTATGCCTGTGCAGGTAGACCGAAGCGTGTGTGGGAATAAACCTATACAGGTCTATTCCCACACACGCTTCGGTTGACCTGCACAGGCATACCTGCGCAGGTAGACCCTATCGTGTATGGCCGGCATAAAACTCACACCACCACGTTAGCCGGATCCCAGAATGGGATCCGTTGCCCGGGTTGCACCACAGCACGTACCCTTCTTGATAAAAATATGTTTTTTGCCCAGTTTTTTCAGACGTTCGTTATTTTGAAAAAAAAGATATATAATATTCAAGTATTAAGTTTTTTCATATGATTTTATTAATGCAGGCCAGTATTATCTGTTCATGGTATTAGGGTATACAGGGTGATTTTTTTATCATAACACACTCAATTACTTGCAGAATAATAATAATTTAAACATTTTCTTTTTTCATTATCTTTAGTTACACATTATTCTTGAATTTTTAACTATGTAATACTTTTTAAGTTCATCCCTTATGCCTTGGAAGGGGGTCAACTTTGTTTTTTTAAATGGTAACACATATTTTTAATTTAATAAAATGTTTGAGTTTTTAATTTAATAGTAAATGGCATTTGAATTTTTAATATAACTTAATTCGTTTATTAGATATAATCATTTAAAGTTTCAAATTTTTGAATTAATATACAGGTATAATACACAAGGGATTACAAATATAGGTAGTTAATTGGTTTTTTATAACATCGATATTAGCAGGTACACAGCATTATTATTATCAATTGTAGTAAGGCACATTGTTATGAGTTTATAAATACACTAACTGACAATACAGAAAGTATATCTATTGATAATCATAATTGATAATAAACAATCCGTGACTGAGACAGCAATGTCCTAAAATCCAATTAGCTACCTGTATTTACAATCCCATGTGTATTATACATGTATTTTAACTCAAAATGTTGAAACTTTAAATGTTTATATCTAATAAGCTAATAAAGTTATATTAAAAATTCAAATGCCATTTACTATTAAATTAAAAACTCAAACATTTTATTAAATGAAAAATATGTGTTACCATTTAAAAAAACAAAGTTGACCCACATCCAAGGCATAAGGGATGAACTTAAAAAGTATTACATAGTTAAAAATTCAAGAATAATATGTAACTAAAGATAATAAAAAAAAAAAATGTTTAAATTATTATTATTCTGCAAGTAATTGAGTGGGTTATGATAAAAAAATCACCCTGTATATATTAACATTTCAAATACAGTTTGTTAACTGGTTTTTTTATGACGATATTAGCAAGCATATAGCCTTTATTATCAATGATAATAAGACACATTGTTGTGAGTTTATAAACACTCTAACTGGCAACAAGGGCGTAATGATGTCATTTTTTTAGGGGAGCAACTAAGTTCATTTGGCCGACTGACTATTAAAAAGAATGTAGTTCTGAAATTGCAACTACATCTGAGACAGTTTTTACTTCTTTACATTGGTCGTAAAGTACTTCTAACTCAACCTGTAAATGTAACGAATCTACAACAAATTGTTTGGGTAAAAATTTCATTGCATCTTGATCTCCAGTTTCAGTTAAGTTGTTCCTTGATAATGGGGGGTTGAACAGATTATATAATGGTTTAATTGTACCAATGCAACTTTCCAAGTGATTTTTTATGAGTAACGTGAGCTTATCAAACACAGATTAATATTTTTTCCTATAAAATATTTTAAATGACATATTAGCTGCATTATCTCCATTATTATCAAGGCGCTTAGGTACAAGTCGGCGTCTATGACGAACTGTAAACTCTTTTTCAGCATCCACATCAATAGACTTCAAAAACTCAATTGAAATATTTATAAGGTTATCCATACCATCTAGATCAGAATTAATAATGTTTGATGATTCTAGAGTACTTGACATGAATATGATTGCATCAGCTATGTTAAATTCAGTTGATTCGAGGCACTCAGTTAACAATTTCATCTTACACAAAACATTTTTCATAAATAGAATACTTACAACAAAGTCTAGAGAAATTAAACGTTTTGATAAAGAATACGCTGCATTTCTAGTGGATTTATCGAATTTGTCTATGGTATTTGTTATCTTATCTAAAACTTCAATAATTATATGATATGATGACCAAACAGACTTAATTGCCTCAGCACGTGCTGTCCATCTCGTCTTTAAGGGGCACACCTAGTGTGACAACCTAAAGAAAGGCCATTTTTGGGAATTAAAAAAAAAAAAAACTAGTGAATCCATCTATTTAAAATTTTGAGGGTATATTTATACATGTTTTGAGAATACACAGTAAAATTTTTGAAATAAAATATT